AATTCATGGTTGTACGTGGGCTGGGATACTGTCAGGGCGCCAACACCTAGACAGGAGGACGATTAGGGTCCTCAACCAAAGTCTTTGGCTCAAAAGCCTAACCGAAAGGCAGCGGTGTTTGGCGGGAAATGCAAACGAAGGGAGAAGCGGCTTCAGATGATCACGTGGTGGGAATCCACAAATATGTTCCAAGGAAAGCGGTAGTGAGTTATTTATATGCGCCGTCGGGAAGTTGCGACGATGTGACCACTTTGGGTTCGTATCCAGCAAGCAGTTGGAGGACACCTGTCGCCAGACGACTTGGGCTACTTCGGAAGTTAGTACTGCATGAAAACAGCCTGCGGTCAGCACATAGATGGAGCAACCGTCCGCTATTTCCAATACGTACCGAGCCCAATCTGTCTACCACCTAATTGAGTCTCATATGCGCTAAGCCCAACCATTTGTGCACTCAGATCTTCGGCAACCACGACATTTGAGCTTTTAGCTCACGGCAACAGGGTGTCGTAAAACTTGTCTCAGCGTCAGAGCTCCAGTCATCTGGGTTGTAAGCAGACATGACAAACAAACAGCTGGCTAGTTCCCACTTATGTGATTCCGTCACAGATGCTACCAGACAAGTCGCACAGAGGCAACTATTGACGGGTATCCGGCCAAGCAAGGATCCTGCCGCCCAGGACGATACCAATCCCTGCTATTCCGCCGAAGCAGCCTCTGGATCACCAAAGTTGAGCATCCCGAAGCGAGTAAAGAGTGAGGGGGCCCTGTGCTTGCATCTTGAATCATTTCTTCGGGATACACAGCACACATCAATGCCAACCAGGTCCCGTGTGAGAGCAAGAGCAGCTTGTGCATACATTAGGGGCAGTTAGATGGACTGGGCGTCGAGGCTTGAAGAGTAATTTTGAGATGCCTGAGGATATCTACGCCGGATGGCGCGCAGATATTGCTTGCGAAACCGTCGCAGGACGAAAGGAGTCATAAGTCCTAAATGCTGGATCTACACGAACGGAGTCATTGATCGGGTGGGGAGGGCAGGAAAAAGTATGTGAAAGAGAGTGAAGGGAGGAGTGAGCAATAGCCTGTTTTCGCTTACTTGCCTTACTGTATGCATCAAGTAGGGCGACCCGGCTGACACCACGCTACAGCCGATGTGGTCGTTCCTCCTGATCAGAAAGCTACTTTTGATTCTATCAATCGTCATAAACTTTGGAAGTGTCTGGCGATCAAAGGTGTTACTTTCAAATTCACATCCCTTATGAGGGCACTGTATACGAACTCGTGTGTGGGTGTGAGGATATGGAAAGCTTTTGCCTGATTTCACCATGTCCAGTGGTGTCAGACAAGGCCGCCCTCTCACCTTTTCTCTTCAACTTTGCTACTAATGTGCTGCTTGAAATCTCTCTACCTGCCTCTGAAACCCCGGAAGTCGAAATGCTACCTGAACGTTCGCTCAGACACCGAGAGTGCGGACGATACTGTTCTTCTCGGGTCAGATCCTTCAAAAGTGCAAACTCTTTTATATAATATGAATAACTCTACGGCACGGTTTGGCATGCGCTTCACACCTGCAAAGTGTACATTGCGGTGCAAATTGCTGCTACAAAATAAATTGGTTTACCTGGACAGTTGTATAAGTTCCGGTAGACTAGTTGGAAATGAGATTACTTCTCGAATCCGGAGGCTAGAGCAGTTTTTGCCAACCTGACACCCAGGGCGTCCACGTGACGTGCTTTTGTCAAGGGCAGAGTTTACACTGCGGCGGTATGGTCCATAATACTTTATGGATCAGAGGCATGGCCTCTACGTTCAGAGAACATGCGAACATGGCAATCGGTGTCTCCGAAGAACTAGTCGGGTGTGGTGGGAACATTGGATTAGTAGTGCTTAGGTTCGCCAGATGATTTAAAGAAGAAGGAACTCTCCCGCGATGGATGAATTACTCACGCTACGCTGGTTAGAACACTTACTCTGCATGCCAGGAGACCGTCTGCCTCACACTTCTTTTCGTCCAGCCTTGTGTTGAGTGGAAGCGACCATGAGGTGGTCAGTGTATGACCTGGCAAGGAAGTATGGAAAAACTAACCAGTAAACTTATTCGGGTCAGCAACTGACGCCTCCACTGATGGTGACCCCGGGTCCCATCTCACCAATGGTGACACCGGCAGAAATGGTCCACTCGCGGTCAGTGGCACTCATTTATCAAAGCTATCGCCTTCAACGCGTACGTATCCAATTCCTGAACTAACTAAACATGCCACCACCTCCAAGGCTTAGCAGTGTCTCCCGCGAACAGCGTGATTTTCGATCAGCGGTATACGTGGCGCTACACATTCGCTTGACATAATATAGAGATATGACCAATACATCCTGTCAGGTCGGAAACTTGGCTTCCGCTCTCCAACGTGCCTCAGGTAAGATAGGCATTGAAACATAGGGAATCAAGCAAACATGCTACGACAGACATAGTACTTACACCCCTCGGTTTGAAAACGAGTACAAAATTATTCGTCCCAATTCCCTAGAACGCATTCTTGTCACAAATACGTACGAACTACCTAATCAAAGGGAAGCACCAAGATCTCTGAACAAAGTTCGGGGAGGAGGGTGGCGTGGCTCTTGTCATCCAACGGCGCTTGGAGAAAGGCATACCAGTACCTCAGTTACTTGGGGATCGAAATTCAAAGAATGCTGCTTGAATGAAATGAATAGGCATAATAGTAAAGAGTCAACTGAACTGTTGTCGAAAGTATTCCGCCAAGCGATGAAGAAGCTGGCCTTTAGCATTCATTCACGCAACAAATATGGCGGAACGGTGGATGTGGCATAAATCTACTATTGTCTGTACATTACATGTTTGTATGTGGGCTGAGATAGTGCGAGAACACCCAAAATTATATAGAACGATCATGGTCTACAGTCTTCGGCACATAAACCTGGCAGCGGTGGTCGACCTAAGACTGCTCGGGTGGACCAAATAATAAACTGCCACACTTAGTCCGAACGCCAAAACCTGGACTGTTTGTCATACCTCTATCTACTGACTAACCTGTGGATGGATGGACATTCTGCAGTACAGCTCAATGGGCTGTCGAGGTACGCAAACCGTCGCATAAAAATAAGGTCCAAATTCTGGCCACCGACTAGGGGGGCTCAGTAGACTCGACCTAGGAGGAATTGAACATAGGGTACCGTCAGGGTGATAAACCTCACACCTTTTTGCACGCTCTGTAAGCACTGTAATCTTTGACGTGATGCACTGGTATTTGAACGGGAAACCTACCGTTGCCATCTGATGGAAGTTCTTGTTTCTGCCTGTGACGAATGTTCGCAACGACGACAGCAAAAGCGGTGCGCACAGCCCATGAATGAAAAAATGAGCTTACCGAACCGAAAAAAAGTATGAAGATAGATAAAACTGATAGCACGATTGTACCCCGTGTTGCATAAAAGCCAAAGTGCAGCAGCGACGCGTCAGGTAACCAATAGCAGCACGCAGATACTATACGGAATAAACCAGTAATTGCCTAACAGTGCAACTAACCACTAACCAAAAGGTCACCATGCTCTCCTTTAAATACAAATCGCTCATGGAGGAGGAAAGCGTTCCTCCAAATGCCAGTGAATGTTGCGGTGCTCATCTATGACGTATGGTGTAATACTTTACGTGAAATTTTCGCTTAGAAAAGGCAAGATGGTTACCATGAGGACAGGCTCCATACCTTCCACCACAAAACTTGAGAACTCATTCCACAAGGTTCATGAAAGTAATTTTGTACAAAAAACAAAAGTGATCACTACGTTTCAGGATCCACCATTCATTACAGTTCTAATTTAGTGAAGAATTCATTGCATTAAACGCTTCATCATCGAAAGCACATAATTGTCCAAACACTAATGCTTCACTGCGTCAACAGTTTGGCGCTTGGTTGGAAATGTGAGACACCTCCAGTTTGTGCTGGAGCTATGGAAATCTCTTCGCCAGACACTGAGTATTCGCCTGAACTAGGTGAATACAGAGGTCGCGACATACGGAGAACTTCCTTGAGTGCAACAGCTGGAAAGAGAAGTCGGTCGTAGAAATCGTATTGAAATTAGGGTGACATAAGGGATTACAATAAAATACGTCCAATTAAGTTTACGTGAGATTATCAAATCTCGTCCATCTGTGGTAACTAAAATTGGATGCAAAAGAAGCTAGTCGTGACAAATACGCACACATATGAAATTATTCGTCCCAATTCCCTAGAACGCATTCTTGTCACAAATACGTACGAACTACCTAATCAAAGGGAAGCACCAAGATCTCTGAACAAAGTTCGGGGAGGAGGGTGGCTCTTGTCCAGCCATCCAACGGCGCTTGGAGAAAGGCATACCAGTACCTCAGTTACTTGGGGATCGAAATTCAAAGAATGCTGCTTGAATGAAAGACATAGGCATAATAGTAAAGAGTCAACTGAACTGTTGTCGAAAGTATTCCGCCAAGCGATGAAGAAGCTGGCCTTTAGCATTCATTCACGCAACAAATATGGCGGAACGGTGGATGTGGCATAAATCTACTATTGTCTGTACATTACATGTTTGTATGTGGGCTGAGATAGTGCGAGAACACCCAAAATTATATAGAACGATCATGGTCTACAGTCTTCGGCACATAAACCTGGCAGCGGTGGTCGACCTAAGACTGCTCGGGTGGACCAAATAATAAACTGCCACACTTAGTCCGAACGCCAAAACCTGGACTGTTTGTCATACCTCTATCTACTGACTAACCTGTGGATGGATGGACATTCTGCAGTACAGCTCAATGGGCTGTCGAGGTACGCAAACCGTCGCATAAAAATAAGGTCCAAATTCTGGCCACCGACTAGGGGGGCTCAGTAGACTCGACCTAGGAGGAATTGAACATAGGGTACCGTCAGGGTGATAAACCTCACACCTTTTTGCACGCTCTGTAAGCACTGTAATCTTTGACGTGATGCACTGGTATTTGAACGGGAAACCTACCGTTGCCATCTGATGGAAGTTCTTGTTTCTGCCTGTGACGAATGTTCGCAACGACGACAGCAAAAGCGGTGCGCACAGCCCATGAATGAAAAAATGAGCTTACCGAACCGAAAAAAAGTATGAAGATAGATAAAACTGATAGCACGATTGTACCCCGTGTTGCATAAAAGCCAAAGTGCAGCAGCGACGCGTCAGGTAACCAATAGCAGCACGCAGATACTATACGGAATAAACCAGTAATTGCCTAACAGTGCAACTAACCACTAACCAAAAGGTCACCATGCTCTCCTTTAAATACAAATCGCTCATGGAGGAGGAAAGCGTTCCTCCAAATGCCAGTGAATGTTGCGGTGCTCATCTATGACGTATGGTGTAATACTTTACGTGAAATTTTCGCTTAGAAAAGGCAAGATGGTTACCATGAGGACAGGCTCCATACCTTCCACCACAAAACTTGAGAACTCATTCCACAAGGTTCATGAAAGTAATTTTGTACAAAAAACAAAAGTGATCACTACGTAGAGGCAGTCGTTTCAGGATCCACCATTCATTACAGTTCTAATTTAGTGAAGAATTCATTGCATTAAACGCTTCATCATCGAAAGCACATAATTGTCCAAACACTAATGCTTCACTGCGTCAACAGTTTGGCGCTTGGTTGGAAATGTGAGACACCTCCAGTTTGTGCTGGAGCTATGGAAATCTCTTCGCCAGACACTGAGTATTCGCCTGAACTAGGTGAATACAGAGGTCGCGACATACGGAGAACTTCCTTGAGTGCAACAGCTGGAAAGAGAAGTCGGTCGTAGAAATCGTATTGAAATTAGGGTGACATAAGGGATTACAATAAAATACGTCCAATTAAGTTTACGTGAGATTATCAAATCTCGTCCATCTGTGGTAACTAAAATTGGATGCAAAAGAAGCTAGTCGTGACAAATACGCACACATATGACAACAAATCATTCCGGAGGATAAATGGCTCGCCAATCATGCAGTATTTAATTCCCCATCGCTGTCGAATTTCAAATCCGCTAAGGTCTCCATCAAACAGGAACGAAGTTGTGGAAGCGTTGCTACGCGACCGTAGAAATCATCCAAACGGTATTTTTCAAAAATAGCCTACCAATGAATTAGAAGAAAATCCGTACTTACCCTGTATTTGGAAGGAGAATTTTGTCGGTACGCTGCTCTTGCAAGTATTTTTAGGGGCTCTCGTACTTCGTCAACGGTATATCCGCTAAGATAGGACATGGCATCACACCAGGCGTCCTCCAGGTTTGATGTCTGGAAACACAGTGCACGAGAAAGACACAGTGCAACAACTGCGCGCATGTTGCCGTTTAAATGTGCAAGGTCGTACTCTTGTATTGTGAGCTCTAAGAGGTATTTGGCGAGATTGTGCATCGTACGGTCGGCCTTAAAGGAAAGTTAGAAAAAACGAAAAACCACTTACATCTACGGCCCTAGACAACCTGCGGAGATAAACTAGAGGGATTGGAATGGACAGATAAAAATCAATCGACTGAAGAATCGTCTGCTCGCAGTTTCTGATGTCACTTTTATTGAACGCATTATGGGTCACCGCCGTGAAATCACTTATGTCTGGAGGGTACATCTCCTCAAACTTGGCGGCAATGAAGAGTGATGCGATTCCAATCAGCTGGAAACAGTCCTTAGTCAACTCCTTACTATGCTTCTACAAAATTCAATAATTATTATGTGTCGCATATACCATGAGGTAACGGTCGAGGATAGCAATGCACAAATACAGAGTTTCTGGTTGCAATTTGTAACTGTGATGTATTTGGACGAGCCAATTAATAAGAATATAACGCATCCGAGGATTCACCTCCCCATCAGCGCTAATAAAATCCCGATGCATCGGCTGAACGGCAAGTTCCCGGTTTTGTAGGTAATTGAATATAGCCTCGGCATAGGGATAGACGGTTGCCGAATCACCAAAATCCTCATTCTCGTAATCCAGATACTTTTTTCCACTTTCTTGCACAAGGAAACGACTCCGTATGGCGTGACGGCCACTACGGAACGTCTTGAGTTCAGATTGCACAGGCGATTGTGGTGGGATAATGCCTTTGGGGGCGCCCTCATCAATGCTCATATCACATGATTTTTGGGGTTCTTCGACAGTTAAAAAGCGAGAAGACTTACTAGAAACACCAACTGGACCCTTTTTCGCATTCGCGTTGGTTCCTGCTTCTTTGTTATGCACTCCAAAACCCTTATTTTTTATGTCGCCCAGTGCTGATCTAGAACGCGTCACAATCCCATTCTTCTGCAGACCAACATTTTCTTTAGCTGAGATCATGTTGTTTTCATTTCCCTAGCTAATATGTAATGTATTTATTCAACTTACGAAGGCGCCGAATCGGGTTCGAGTTCCACGAGTGAGCATTCTGTTAAGGCGAGAATAACAGCAGCTGATCGATCAAGGGTCGTAAAGTGCGCGCTTGCAACGAAATTGCGTCGCGCAGTGCGAATAAACGCGGATACCAGTTTCACCATCATCAAGCTTATGCAGTAAAGTTGTAGCTTTTTACCAGTCCATATTGAGCATCTGAAAGCTCTGATCCAATGGGTGTTGTTTTGAATGGCATCCAAGCTGTCATATGACCAGTCGATAGCCGCGTCGGTATGAATTTCGAGTGAGGAGTAGATATACTGTAACAGGAACTGATGGATGGGTTTAACTACTCCTATGTACTTCTCACTGCTTCATTTCGTGGTTTTTTCATGCGATTCATTCTTATTCCCGTTTGTTCTTTAGGGAAACACGCGGTGGATGAATAAAAGTGTCTCTTTAATACGGCCGTATTTTGACCGAAAATATGAAGTTAAGAAATTCAACGAAGCCTTGGAGAAGTGAGAGTTCTAGTTCCTAATTTATTGAAAAGACCGAGAAACTCCCACTAGGTTAATCACGCGTGAAGACAAGGTAATGTTGAATAGTGGTTTTAATACCCCTCTGATGTTGGTTTCGAAGGGCTGTCCACATCAAGGTAGCCGGATGAGTCTGCACCCCATTTAATGATGGTTCAATGACACTGTTTAAACTGGTCTTATGCGTATTTCATTTCTTAATTGTCTCTTATACCATCCTAGGTCATCCAGCAATGAACCAACTGCCGAAGAGATTCCTGTTGAGATATAGTGGTTTTCATGGTCTTCAAAGAGGCAGTAACCGATTCACGAAACAAAAGTTATCATTGTCGCACAACGAACATAAAGGTCAGTGGCGCAATTCTTCGTTGTTTCATCGTTCTTCTGTAATATTCCCACAAGTTAGGAGGTAAGCCCATATCATTTTTTTGTTATTATCATAGGTATTGCTACTACCTTGTGTCGCAGCGTCGATAAAGTCTAGTGTAGTGTAGTCAAACAAGTTAGGTTTTCAGACATGTTGTGTTGATAAATGATGATAGATAACACTTGCCGAAGCGCAGGCCTTCCAGTCCGATCTTGCCTGAGACACAAGGGCAAACTTACAGTACCCTATGATAGCTAGTTCACGATAATCAAGTTACTGAAGCTTTGTATTCCCGTTCGTCTCCCAAACGATAGCCAACCGAGTAACGAGTTGATGTCTTCAAAGTAATTCCGAAACACGGAACACCGCCATCGTAATTCTGCAGTTTCTGTTTGGCGGTTTTGCGAGCCTTCACAGCTCAGAGCATATGTAAATATTTTCACATACAGAGAGTAAATTATGAATGTCACTCTGTCTGTAAGCGTGGAGGCAATGCAGGTTTATCCTCAGATCTCGGAGTGGCTAGCCTTCTTCCGGTTATTTTCTGGAAAGCTTCTTGATCTGAGTGAAAATGAGGGTCATGTGTGGCATTTGGCCTTTGAATCAACATCACTTACAGTTCATGTTTGAAATCAGATTTTTTTGCTCATCTGTTTTTGAGTTTGGTGCAAGCGCCATTATCCCCCCGTATCGTAGTATGTGAAACCTGCTACATTGTAGACCAACCAATTTCCATTTTGGTCTTTTTTCCAGCTTGGTCTTTTTATCTTGGTTTGGGCTAAAACCGGACGACCCGGTAGGATATTCAGTGACTTTGGAGTGAAAGCGTAGAATGCTACTCAGTTTTGTTCCGGTTTCAAGATAAGAACTTGGAGTGAACACGCCATCGCTAACATTGGAACCCTCGACAACGGAGACCAGAATGCAAGACTCAGCCGGGGCTTGAGTTTACAGTACTCATTATCTAGTCGATTTTATCACGAACTACTAACAACGTCTAACAATGGTTACAGAAGCTGGGTGAGCCGGCAGTTTTGGGCCATGGGGTTTCCACTGAAGTCTTTTGTGCTTGCTTAATACCTAAACCCACTGCACACCATGGCATGGTGATAGATACCTCCGAACCTGAACTGAGTTGGAAGTTTAAGGAAAATGCTTTACTTGAAATGGTTCTTCCACAAGCTCCGTGGTTCTTTTGAGCAGCCGTAATTTCGGTTGCGGCAAGCGACCCCATCCCTGGCAGTTGTAATAATAGCGAACAGCAAATATAGGAGTAGTGATGTCCTCTAACGTGTCTCGTCCATTTAGCATGGTTACTGCTTCACAGTAGTATACGCCATTGTAGTAACCTCATCAGTAACTGAGCGCTCTGCTCTGCCTATAATAACGCAGTTTAACGTCAATCAAAGGCTGAACTTAAAATGACAGTATTCCATAGCTTGGAGTGACGTCATCATTTATAGCCAAAGTAGTAGAATAAACCCGAAAATTCTTCACCACAAATGACTTGGTGCCTCGCCAAGAAATTCAAGCGTGCAATGGATTAAACACCGCCAGTGGACTCCAACAGCATGCAAAAGCTACCTGTACATCGTTTCGCATATTGCATCGTCTGATTGATTTTACTTCATTTTCTACTACAAGTCCTGATTGATTCTTTAGATATTTGTGCCAATCAGCTATTGTTTTTCTGCAGCGCTGAGGTCATCCGTTTTCACTGATGGCCAGGGACAAAAATTGTGTAAACTGGATGACACCAGCTTGCCTCGCGCTCAAATGCCCACTCCAAAGTGTTTTCATGTGGTGTCGAATGATTTCACACAGATTTCAGCAGGGCGCCGGCTGTGACTGCGGTACCAGCTTCTGCATAGTGAGCTGCCCCCAGAAACGGTAATTCCAAAACCTGTCTCCGTTTGATTCTTGGCTTTAATTTTTTACGCGTTCCTCATAGGGCATAAAATAAGCGGCAAACCTATCCATACTAATAGACATAAGCTTTAATTAGAGCGTAAAAGTGAATGTAGCCACAGCAAGTCTACCGAAGCAGTATTAACTGTCGGTGTATAGTAAATTATCACAGTTGACAAAAACGTTAAAATCATTACTGGTGCCATTTAAAGCTCAGCGTTAGCCCCTGATTTATGCGTTTTTACACAGGTGACATTATATATATATATAATGGCTATAATTAACGCAACAGATTTTACAATGATATATAACGTGATATAACGTGTATAGGCACAGGTAATTTATGGCAATTCGGTCATACGTTTTTCATGCAGCGATGATCCACAAAGCGAGAAACATAAGTGAAGTCGTAAGTCAGTTTATTAGTCATTTTCCAAAACTTGCATGCGCGGTGTTTTCTGTGAATTCACAAGTATCCCCTTGTCGTTCGAACTGGCGAAGGGGGCGCTCAATTAAATCGAATACCAAGCAGGTTGGGTTTTCCAGGCAACTCACCTTCAATGTCGGCGGCGCTAATGACAGTGGTGACAATCGTATCTGCAGCCTTCAACAATAAACCTAGAAGCCTTCAGTGAATGGGTCATCTTGAATGTTTTGGTCGGTGTCTGAACATAATCTTAAATTTGTCGGTCACTTCCGAAATGAAGTCACAATGAGTCCACACTGTCCTTGGGTCTGCATGCTTGGTGCGCCTTCTGAGCCGTCAATCCCCATTCTTAAGCCTATCACTGAGTTCAAGACGAGATTACATTCACCGACTCCCAGTGGGTTCCGAGGAAACTCTTTGTTTGGGATTGGTCTGATGTGATTGAGCTGCGAATTTTACCTGTTACAGTTTGCCTGAACTTCGGAAGAAGATGGTTTTTAATATATTCCGTCCAGCTGGATGATCAAATCATGTTTGGGCACATATTACTCACTTGACATGTCACAATATATTAAATTGTTCAAAGTAATTAGGTACGACGCTATTTTTTAACAGAATAGTCTCCTGAAGTAACCCGAAGTACTGTTGAATATGGAGGCAACTCTATATCTCTGTCAGCAAGGCTCAATTTCAGGCACGCGGAACCAGTCGATAAATAGTTCTATTTTAGTGAATGAGTTCCACGTGTTTTTTCTATCTCAGGCGAGGAATCCTTCCAAATGAAGAGCGCCCCAAGGAGAACTTCCGATCACTGCATGAGAAATGAGAAAAGTACAAAAATGGTGCTTGATTCGGTGAATAACAACAGTCCTCCATCATGGTGTTCGCATGATTTGTCCCTCTCGTGGCTGCTTACCATGAATAATAGAGCTGTACCCGTTCGCACCACTTATTATGGAGCCCTAACTTTGCATCTACACCCAATATAATGCTTATAAAAAACCCTTCATAGTCATAAAAGCATATTCAACCCCCGGTGAGGTAATTCCTGCTATTTCACACACACACCGGACGCTTAATGCTAGTTTACTCAGTTTTTGTTTTCTGTAAACCAACTTCGACAATAATTCTAAGATGATTAATATAAGCTAGTCAGCATCATGCAATCCCCAAACATAAGAGGCCAAGCACCTACAGGTAAATCGTCCAAAATATTGATTGATTTGTTAGCCGCTCTGACGGTCTGCTGCTCTAAACTTGAATAGATTTATGAGGAAAACAACTTTCACGATGTTTAGTTTCAACGCTTTTCTTCTTTGGATAGTTTCATAATCAGGTTTCTGAGCAAATATAGAAGGGTGGGAATAGCCTTCTGAATTTGCAACCACCAAGCAATGGCGGTAGTTGTACAACTTAAATGGCCCGCATAATGATTGTGACTCGCTCTTTCGATTTGAAAACACAAGGATTCTTCAAGCATTTGTTCGTCGATGTTACAAAGCAACTAGTGAGTAAGGCAGTGCGTGCTGGTGACTCCACTCTGGTAGAGCAGCAGAATACGCCTGTGGATGTATCGGCTAAGTTCTACGTAAACCCAATGGGATCTATCCAAGGAAGCATGACATATTTTACTCGGCCGTTGTTCTCCGAAGGACGATAAGTCGCTGGTCGCGGTACTGCGAGTGCAGTAAACGCCGCAAACAGTCCAGCTGAGTACTAAGGGATCTCAGGTGCTCACTGAATTGAGCGATTCACACCTTATGAAAATTATTACAAACCTATCTGTACAGCGCAGAAGCGTTGCATTTCTTTCGTCGCCGAGGATGCTGTAAACCACGGACCATCTACAGCCATGATTCTTTGTTGAGATGTCACTACTACCAGCACATAATCTTGCGTTTTTCAATTCAGATTTCATTTCAACGCACTGATGCCTTTATTCAACCTCATTGATACTAACTTATATTCAGCATTTAGCATCAATGTAGTGTGTGACTTCTTTAAGTTACCTCCGGCGCATATAGTGCGCATGACTACGATGGTGCGCGAGTCGTAATATTGCGCCAACTGAACAGCGTAGTTGGTTTAGTGGCCTCACATTTATCTGAATTACTTGAATAACGGATCTAAAACACGTGTGCTCGCTTCGAACTTCAACTTGCCGCCGTCAGTCTGCTGCATAGTCGAGCAAAATATTTGTGCCAAAACAGTTCTTTGAGGTACGGCAAGCCAGGCTCTCGCTAAATGATTGAGATCGCCGTGTAGTCCGCGGGTCCAGCTGATCGCCTTATGACAGGAAAGATGAATTCACAGGATAAGCTGGCAACTAATAAAAATTGTTTTAGAGCTGCACGCGTGTTCACTTGGTGCGCATGACCGTATTTTTTTGAAACAGCAGACGAGGTTCTCTATCACGGCAAATGCCTTGATGGTGTAATCATTCCAGCAAAAACCATCAGTCGCGAGGTTGGTCGGTAGGCTATTGGTGCATAGCTGAGGATGGCCATAATATTTTTTTGAGCAGACGAGGTTCTCTATCACGGCAAATGCCTTGATGGTGTAATCATTCCAGCAAAAACCATCAGTCGCGAGGTTGGTCGGTCGGCTATTGGTGCATAGCTGAGGATGGCCATAATACAACTCAGGAAATACATGCACTTTTAACTGACTTTAATGTGGTTGACAGTAGTTTACAGAAACGATTTGCAGCATCTATAAAATAAGGGACAATATTAAATTTGGAGCACGTCAAAAGGGGAACTTATCGTATGTGAGAGTCCCTTGGTAAAAGTCCAGACGGTGGGAACGTGTTTTCTTCGCAGTATGGCTGCTACAAGTGTTCCATGATTGTCCGTGGACTTGAAGTGCTTGGCTGATTCCTTGCTCCCTGCGCGCGCGCGAGTCTGTGTGTGCTGACTGGGTTTGGTTTCGCTTTATGTAGGTCCCAGTGCGTATAGATGGGTGCGTCGGCACATGAGTGGTTGCTACGCTGACTAGGCGGTGCAGACAATCGATGACCGATGAGTCAGCTTAATGTGACGTGTTTGTGCTTATGAGAAAAAAGACAAGCCTCGCGATCCAGTGAGCGACTGTGAGTTGAACAGTTAAATATGTGGGTGACTGGGTCGCTAAAACTACTCCTTCTCCAGCGAAAGAGAAAAATAGGTCCAAGAGATATCCAACAGCATCGACTGAGCATGGTCGAATCGGTAGTCCGAAGTGGGAAAGGTA